AAATTAAAAATCTTATTCTTTTTTCTTCAATTCCTTAACGGTAAAATTAAATTGCGTTTCATGCTCGTAACAGTTCAATACAGCGTCTGTAACGTTAATATTTTAAAAAGTTCGTTAGATTGACTTACAAAATACATTTTCTTAATTCTATCAACGAGCTTATAAAATGTAAATGTCATTAAAATATCTAATAAGAAAAACATGTGAGATAAAAAAAACTACCAATGTTGCTTGAAATATCTTTTAAAAAGTCTTTAACCTTCGAGAATAATTCCTTTCGAATTAGCTAATTCTCAAACAAAATTCATTGTCCGAATCTTGTTCCAATAATTTTCCAGTTCTTCACGAGAAAGTTCTTTGTGTACCTTCAAATGTCTTTTCATGGAATCTCTTCTTCTTACTGAGTATTTGCATCCATTTCCAACAGGACATGGTTCACCAATTTTTTTATGAACGGTTAAAATGTGTTTTTTAAGATTAGATTTTGTTTTGAATTTCTTTTGACATCCATGAACATCACAAGTAAAATTTCTCTCTTGATGCATATTTTGATGACGTAGAATTAAGTGTTTAGTAGGGAAACGTTTTCCACAAATATCACAACGAAAATGATGAGGAAGTAACTTATGATTTTTTAAAGACTCTTTCTTTTTAAAAGTTTTTCCACATAATAAACAGGTAAGCTTTTTTTCATGAACATTTCGTATATGACTTTTAAGTGTTTTTTTATCAAAGTAGGAACTTCTACAAATTTGACAATGGAAATCTTTTGTTCTAAAATCTTTGTGATTGTTCACGTGGTAAGCGAGATATGTTTTACTACTGATTTTCTTTCCACAAATATCACATTGATATCGTATAGTACTGAAATGCATGATATTCAAATGCATCTTCAGATTTCTAATTGATTTCCCACAAATCTCACAAGGTTCGTTTACCTTGTGAGGACGTAACTTATGATTTTTTAAGCCTTCTTCGGTCCGAAAACTTTTTCTACATAATGAACAGGTAAGATGTTTTGGTTTTTCATGCACATTTAATATATGAAATTGAAGTGTTCCTTTATCAAAGAAGGAACTTTCACAAATTTGACAATGATAATCTCTTGTTCTATGTTTCAAATTAATATGTCTAATCATGTGATGAGCAAGATCTGCTTTAGTACAGAATTTCTTTTCACAAATATCGCATTGATATCGTCTAATACTCGAATGCATTCTTCTTAAATGTATTTGTAGATTTACCTTGGAAATCATTTTTCCACAGAGCTTACAACTTACCTTATGATTTAAACGATGAGGTTGTAACTTATGATTTTTTAAACCTTCTTCGGTAGCAAAAGTCCTTCTACATAATGAACAGGTAAGATGCTTTGGTTTTTCATGCACATTCAATATATGAAATTGAAGTGACCCTTTATCAAAGAAGGAACTTTCACAAATTTGACAATGAAACTTTTTTGTTCTAAAATCATTGTGCGTATTCACGTGATTGGCAAGATGTGTTTTTCTACTGGTTTTCAAACCACAAATATCGCACTGATATGGTTTTATATTGTAATGAACCCTATTTATATGATGTTTGAGATTTTCCTTTAAAAGAATTTTTCCACACACCTCACAAGGTAAGCGACAGGGACGTAACTTATGATTTTTTAAGCTTTTTTCGGTCTTAAAACATCTTCTACACAATGAACAGGTAAGATGTTTTGGTCTTTCATGATTTTTTAATATATGGCTTCGAAGTGCCGCTTTACTCAAATAGGAACTTTCACAAATTTGACAATCAAAATCTTTTGTTCTGAAATCTATGTGCGTATTCAAGTGATAAGCAAGAGGCGTCTTTTTATTGAATTTCCTACCACAAATATCGCACTGATATGGTTTTATATTGAAGTGCACCGTATTTAAATGTGGCTTGAGTTCTTTGTTTAAAATCATTTTTCCACAGACCTCACAAGGTAAATGACAGGGACGTAACTTATGACTTTCAATACCTTCTTCGGTCGTAAATGTTCTACTATATAGTGAACAGGTAAGGTGCTTTGGTTTTTCATGATTTTTCAAAATATGATATCGAAGCACATTTTTATTAAAGTAAGAGTTCCCACAAATTTGACACTGAAAATCCTTTGTCCTAAATTCTTTATGCGTGTTCATGTGAGAAGAAATGTTGAATTTACATGTCGCTGTTAATCCACAAATGTCGCACTGATGTCGCTTGACCGAGTGATCATTTTTAAAAACTTTTCCACCAGCATCGCATAAAATTAATTGAGGATTTGACTGATCCTGATTTTCAAGTTCATTTTCCTCTTCATTCTTAACTTCATCATGATCCTTTAGACTTTCATCTTCAGAACTTTCTTCTTTGACTTCATTCATTGGTGAAACCAACTCCATCTCCGTTGATATATTCAATTCATCTTCAACTTTAATGAAATTGTAGTGTATTGGAACTGATAGTTCAATGCGGACATTGTCAACTTTTTTATTACTAAACTTCTCATAACACTTCAATTTATCATTTATTTTGAACTTGGACTGATGAGAATCATTTAAAATGTTTTCACATTTTGAACACATAAAATCTGATCCTGTTCCATCCAATGAAAAGTGAACTTGCAAGACAGAATTAATCTTTTTCTCTATGTCATCTGTGATTTGTATTCTTGAATCTCGCTCGGTAACGTCTTTGAAACACAAACGACATTTCTCGTGACAGTTTATAAAGTCAGAAAAGATGTCCTCCAGAACCACTACGGCCTTCAAATCTTGTTTTTTCATGACAATCCTTTTAGCACGCATTCTAAACTTTGATTAAGCTGAGGCCTTTTGAAGTTTCAAATATTTTACAGGAATATTAAAAACTCGTTTTGAACGGATTTGAGTTTGTATTCTTAACTTTAATGTCCTCCTTGTCTTTTATAGTTTGTGGCGAGAATATAAACTATTTCACTAAGTTCCAATAAAGTAACTTGATTAACACTGAAATTAAATAAAGTTTGTCTTCAAAATTTACAAATATTTATTTAGAAAAACCAACCGTATTGCTGTAATGACTTTTTTAACTGCAGTTATTAATATGTAGGCAAATGTATCCAGAAACTTTTCTTGAAGAGAGATTCTCGAGAGAGCTGATAATGATGAATGCCTTTAACTAAGAAATATTTATGGAATTGAAAC